CACATCAGGATAGCTCCAATGTTTAGGTCGATGGGGTGCGGATCGTGTAGACCCAGAGTACTGAGATTGTTTCAAGATTGAACCGGAAGGGTGGCCTGCCGATCGGCGCCATCACCACCATGATAGTTCTTCACGATGTCGATACTGTGATGCGTCTGCAATTCGCCTTATAATCGGGACGACACATACTCATTGACCAAACGAGAGTGCTCATCATAGGGACACAGAATGAGAGCGTTTTCTTCTCACTTCGGCATCGCAAACCCTATGTCGTTGCCCAAACAGCTCGTTCACCATATTATCGGAGGTACGATCGCCTGGTAAACGCACGAAGAGCTCAGATGGTTCGTGAAAATGTTTCGCTGACCTCATTGAGCGAAAATAGAGTAAATCGAATTTCGTTTTGCAGCAGCGCGCATGTTTTCATCGCCTGATTTTTGCGCGATGCACGTTTTTTGCACGTTTCCTGCGTGAGCAGATCCATTGGCTGTGTCACGCGTCGTCTCACCAGGCAGCAAAATTGCAGAAATACCGGTCGGCACGCATCGCTCAAAACATTGTCTACTTCCATTCGGTATGTAAATTCGTGTAGTGTACAGGAATAGATTGAAAATGCCACCTGCGCTGTCGATAATAAACGCCGACGCACTTCCCGTTCGGAATTTTCATGCGCCTCTGCATTTGAACAACTTCCGAATTCCATCTTGGAAACGCTTTTCCTCTGGGGTTTTTCACCCTGGAATCAGCTGCTTTGTAGAGGTATCGGGTAGGCCGGAAAGTTCTTGAAGTTTCAGACAATATTTGAGAAAACAATTTTATTCAGCGACCGTAAAATATCAGTGAACAATGTATGCACCATTGCGTTCCAATACACGTCTCCACCTTCCAGCCAGGGAATGGATTCCGCCGTGGTTGAACGATGGGGACCGAGACTCAAAGAAATGTCGCAAGTAGCATTCGAAGTCTTTCTGGTCGTCCAACCTTTTCTCTGAGGGGGTTCTGCTGGGCGCGGAAAAGGTAGTCGCCCGACGGAGCAAGGTCCGGGGAGTACGGTGGGTGCGGCAGAATCTCCCATCCGAGGGCGAGGAGTTTGAGCCGGTCATGTTAGGGGTATGCGGCCGGGCATCGTCGTGGAGGAACAGCATTTCGTCACGTTCCGGCGGAGCCGAGGAGAGTTTCTGGCTCAATCTTTCTGCAGTTGGTCGCAGTAGTAGGCCTACCGTGATGGTGGAGTTGGGAGGAAGCAACTCGAACATCAAGACACCTTTCACGTCTCACCATACGGAGTGCATCACCTTGCGGGTACCTTTCGGCTCCGGCTGCGACTCTTCATCGGCGTCTAACCACTCACGCTTGCAGGTATGCCTCGCGTACATCATCCACTTCTCATCCCCCGTGACGACGTCGTCGAGTCAGTCGAAGCGCCGTCGGCGGGAGAGGAAAAGTGCACAGGTGTCGGAACGCTGGTCGAAGTCCTTCTGCGTCAAAGCACGGGGTATGCAACTCCCGAGCCTCGAGACCTTCCCGATCGTGGACAGGCGGTGTTCGATGGTGGAGTGGGAGCACCCGAGGTCGGCGGCCATGTCGCGAGTGGTCATGCGGGGATCGGCTTCCACGCGTTGTAGTAGCGCCTCATCATCCAACTCCGACGGGTGTCCCGACCTCGGCTTGTCTTCGACACTATAGTTTCCAGACTGGAAGCGAGCGAACCGATTGAAGCACGTCTTCGACTCCTTCCCCAAACGCCTGGCATAGACGGCGATGGGCGTCGGCTGCCTTCTCTTCCAGACGGAACTCATAGGAGAGGCAGGTGCGGAGGTTGTCACGGTCACGGTCGAACTTCTGGCTCATACTTGGCCGTAAGGGATCGAAAATTCTAGAAAATTCGTGAGGTTTCCTAATAAGAAAATAACTTTCCTGCCAACCCAATAGAAGCACTGGTATTTCAGCTGTGCAATGAATTGCTGCCGCAAAGAACTCCAGAAATTCACGAAACGGAGCTGTGGATATGCAGTTGCTGTCGCTGAACTTCATCATGGAACATGGATGCCTGCGTTCACCTAGCTCCAGCCTGCATCGCTTTCCCTGGAAGATAACAAATGGGGCCAGGTAATTACTCGCTGCACTGCAACAAGCAATAATTATTACAATTTCTCCCTCTTCCTTTGGAGCGACAGAATGCACAGTGTTAGAACCTTTTCTTACAATCGCTTCATGAGGTTGTGTGGTTATTTGCAAGCCACTTTCATCTGCAGTGAAGAGTCTATGTGGTTCCATCCTGATTTCCAGATCCTCAAGTTTCTCGAGCACCAAGTCTCATTTCTTCACTTCCTCCCTATTCATACCAATTTCATTACCTGCTGTCGGGAAAGAAATACATGGGATAATTAAATCATTGCACCTTGAAGGAGGCATTCCCTTCTTCAAGGCGAATGAGGATTAATTGGGATTCCCTAACTACAATTGCTCATTCGTCTTTGCTTTCCTTTTGTGTAAAGAAAAACGAGCCGGACAGAGAGTTCTGGGAAACATCCGTATTTATTTAGCAATCAGATGCGTTCCACTCCAGTTTCTCGGGCTCGATCGGAATCCCTAGACTCAGTTCGGAGGCGATCGAAGTGAAGTTTGCGAAGAACAATCTTGAAAGAACACCTCGTCCAAGTCTTCGAGACGAGTTCCATCTTTGCATTTACCGTGTAACCTCACCTGGTGATCTGGAATGTTGAATTTCCAGGCCAAACTGCAATCGCACACGATGGGGTTGTCTGGAAGACAGAGGGAGTATATCAGACAGAGATAGGGTCCCCGATATTGCGAATGGGACCAAGATGATTCGAAACGGGACATTATGCCAAGCAACTACAAAAAAGGGATTTGTGTGCCTAAGACCTTAACTGTGACCATCGTCTTTTCATCCAAACGAGATCCGTCCTTCCATTCGTTCCCTATGGAGCTATGTGCACCTAGTTATAAATCGACACAGGGGGAACATCTACCTGGCTCGAGAAACGCGAACACTAATGACCCGGTGGATTTCCATTGGGTGAGACATCCACCTGGTTCCAAATCAACCTCATATGCACCTTGTCGTTTACCCATGTGGACGTTTTGTTAGCATTGGGCCTTGTTTATGTAAACTACGGAAATAAACGATTCCAAGACCAAACCCTGAGGAACCCTATTTCCGCCGACACTGCATCAATGGGCAGCGCCCATTAATTTCCTTGAACCCCATCCGGCCACAAAATTAATCTGGCCTGTATTCCTCTCTGAGAGAATCAACTGGAGCAAAATCTGGCACACTTCTTCCTCTCTCAATATAGAATCCCTCCAGCAAATTTGAAGCTCCATCTCCCTGGGGTTGCGGAGAGCACTGAATCACTCTCTTTGAATATGGGAATTCCATTCTGGTCTTTTTTTTCTGCCCCCCTGGGTAGCCACTCCTGGAGTGTTTTCGGTGGAGAGACCTACCAAACAATATATATTGACTTGTAGGTGGCGAAAAATGCCATATTTATTTGCGGTGCACTATTTCGGCATAAAAATGAAATTTGCTACCGATAATTTAGGGCCGTTCCGTGATGGAACGGTCTCGTTCCGCAATGTTGCCGGATATCATGTAAGCGTTATGTCATTTTCATGAATTCTTCTACCTTAGTATCTTGTCTGAATCTTTTCTTTTTAATGTGGGAGACATCATTCTGCTGAATTCACGGTATATACTGAGATCGAAACTGGTTCGCAGTGGCCGGCCGATATGGTCGAATACGGCGATACCTCATCCGGACATCCATAAATTAGCACCATGGCGACCAGCTTGAATGTCATGCTTTCTAAGGGCATTTTCTACGCGGAACGAGTAAGACAGTTCGAGGAACCCTGGATAGGCCTGACGTACCCCGACCGCACTGAAATGGTTCCTGAAACTTGAAGACCTACAATCGGTCTTGCTTTACACGATCGCTATTAAATGGACCTTGAGATACTAAATAGGCCTGCAATTGTCCTAACGTTACACGTCCTCAACAAGGTGTCTGGAAGACCAGGAATTAATCTTCATCGGCCTAATTAGTCTGTCGGTCGAAGATTGAGTTTCTTTTGAATGAAAAACGTAGGCCTAGGCCTGATTCGAGGACAGTCCGTCGGTTCGGCCTAGGCTAAACCTTAGTGAGTACCGTACAGCAGGGGGAGGGTACAGAAGGGGGGTGGTTGAGGTTGGGGTTAGTGGGTGAAGAAAGGTTAAACCATTAAACTTGGTTTTCACGTTACTACATTTTCCGTTACTCTCTGCTCTCTTCCCGACGGCTATCTAATTATCATGTTTTACACCCTACCTCGAATCCCGTACGCCTTTAATTAAGCTAGAAGCCTGCTGTGAAGAATGGTTTCGAGAGTCCTCAGGAAGTCTGGGCAAGAAAAGAGTTACTTCCCACCCGTCTTAATACTTCACCCAATCGTGGATACCAAGGATATCAACAAGACCATTTTTCAGGCTTCTAGTGCATTGCTTACCTTCCAGAAGAGCATGTTTCCACCGAGAAATTCCAGGATAATAATTTAGATTATCGTCCCAGGAAATGTTCGTGAGACTTATTGACCTTTTAATTTCCTGGTCTTATCACCCTTCCTGAACACCGACGCGACGCTTATTTCATCGAGCAAGAGCCCTTGTTTTAAAAAAAATGTTCATCATGCATTTCAAATGATCAAATTGGCTTATTCCAAGAAAGGCATCATCTATCACGAGCCTTCCCGTATGTAAGAATAATTCTCACATTCATTCAATCCACTTTGATCTGATGGTATCGTCACCGACCGGAGGTTTCGCTTCCCAAATTGATCAATTGTTAGCAAACGGAGCCTTTGACTTGTGGAGCTACCCTTTCTTACGTTGCCACGCTGCTGGCAATGTCGAAAAGGTCAGCCAAATCCTTCTCCTCTTGACAATTACACCAACAGGCATAATTTCACCAACGAACATCATGGCCAACAGACATCCCTTACGAAAAATCTCCGGCCAGTCCACCGGAGGGACTATACAGATACTCTTGGTGGTCCACATGTGGAATGGCAGTTACCTGTATGGAATGGTGAGGACTAAGTCCCTCCAGGGGACTTGTCCACATGGGGACTAATATGAATATACGAATTTTCCCATGTGAACTCCATGTGGATCCCCTTAATCCACATGTGAACCACATGTGTATTAATCAAAATCCTCTTGGTGGACTTAAGGCAGTGCCCATGTGTGGATTTTCCGTAAGAGATACTTGGCATTTGACCCAGTGCTGAACTTGGCTCGCAAAATTGTGTTCGGAATTGAACTTATTTATTGGCGGTCTTGAAATATCGGGGCTCGGCATTTCATCAAAACACAAATCTAGCTAGAAAAAGCTATCCCATTCGAAACAGGAATACAAGTAATTATTTTCCACCATCCTGACATTTTAAAACAGGAGAACTCACCATCTACGAAGAGCTTCCCGTTGATCCGCAGCATAGGGTAGAAGGCCTCTTCATCCAATCGGCTGATGTTATTTTTCATGAAATACAAGACGCTTACGGCTGGGAGACCTACATACAGAATTCCTCTTCTGTTCGTTTATTTTATGTTATGGTATTATACTGTACCATATCGAACCATGAGCCCCCGAAATATCAAGCTTGGACCCCGAAAGGGCATCTTACCTGAAATCGCGCCTGGTTCAACTCTCGAGATAGAGTTCTCATCGAGGGATATAATTTTGAGGCGGGGCGCCCGCATTTCGAAGATCCCGGAAAACAAAGTCGGCCCGAGGTTGCAGCCTTTACAGAGAAATTCCTCGAAGTTGGGCATATTATGGAAAAATCCAGCCGGCATCTCCGAGAGGGGATTACCTTCTGCATAGGGTGGAATCAAGATTATCCGTAGAAACAGTAAAATAAAATATTTTTCATGTAAAAAAGGCAAAACAGGGTCTGATCGAAGGTGGTTCGCACCGTGCCCAGGTCATTCGCAATGTACGGATAATACCTTGGCAGTGGTACCTCCTTTCACCTGCTTTTACCCCCTTCAGAATCCTTTAAGTCCTGACTGTACGGAAAGCATAATATTGTCATATAGGTTTGGGAGTTTCTTTCGAAAGGTTTTACGATTTTCTTTTAATATGCTACAAAAAAGGCGGAAAAAAGCGTCTCTACCCCTCAGAGATCTGCTGAGAGATCGACTCTTCCAAGGATGGAAAATGCTTTTCCCAATCATTGTATATTATTTTAGCTGAGATGATCTCACATGAAATCAATCAGTAAATATAATACTCTCAGAGAACAACTAGTTCTCAGACACTCACAGAAAGGTTAAAGTAATAATTCACCTGGAATATGGGACGCACCGCAAATGGTGCTTCGGATAGCAATGCTGCAAACTATCACGAAGTAAATCCAATTTTTCCCTCAACATCACTTAAGCAACAGTGTACCCTAGCAAAGGAGATCGTGGGAATAAAAAGACTAAGGGTATTCAAGAAACTGAAATCACAGGATTCACTATGGAAAAACTCACCCATTTTTAGATTCATTAGGGTCGCTATTTCCCAGCCGGAATCTAATTTGGCGATTTGATTCCCATCAAGATGGAGCCAAACGAGATTCCGAGTTTGGAGAGGAGGAACATATCTCAAGGCATTGTTGCTGAGGTAGAGGCTGTTGAACCATTCATTGAGTTGGGGTATGATTTCCCAGGGGAAGTCCTGCAGGTCGCAGTTCGTGATTTCCAGCATACTTATTCGATCCTTCAGAGGAAGAATGGCCATTGGATGGACGTGCCTCAGTGCCGTATTGGATATGGTAACTATCCTGAAGGTCACGTCGCCAAACACTCCTTCGGGGAGTTCCTGGACCATGTCGTTGTCGAGAAGAAGGAATGTCCTGCAAGAGGACGGAGAGATCATGAAACCATTTTGTCATTTGATGGAGACGAGGAAACGGAAAGATATCTGTCATTCCCATATGGGTAAATTGCAGATATTGCGATCAGTATGTCACTTTTTTCATCCCATCTGTCCGCAGTTTCCATAGCTACCTCACAACACGACCCGTTGCGCATGTGCAGCTTTCCGCCTGGGTCGGGACGTCCGTCCTCCACTAAAATAATCACTTCCCTTCCAGCCCTCGCAGGTGTCGGATCGATGGTAGGCAATGGGAGAGATCGGCTGCTCGCGGCGCCCGCAGACAGGATTCAGGATGCATCTGGCATCCTGAACTTCATACTCTCCTCGCGTCTCCACGCGACGCGGACGCGGGAACCACTGAAAGCACCAGTTATCTTTACTATTTAGTTATTTTTACGCAGGCTAATACTGTACCAATGACAGTGTTTTCTTTTTTGTAAAAGTTATATGTCTAGGATGTGGCAAAGAAGATAATTCCTTTTGATAATCTACCAGTGGAATGGCAGATCTTTACCTGGGCTGGAACCATCGTTCTACTTGCGCCTGTTCTGCATGGAATTACGTACTTTAAGCACGTACTAAAGGGCGAGGGGGGAGGGAAGGAACGCATTTCCAGGCATTCAGATTCAAGAACTCGGTACTGAAGTACTTTTTGGCTTGTTGAGGTCAGGAGGTACACTACTTTTTCAGGTACATCAAGAGCAGAATTTTGGAGGGCCATCTCTTCGAACATTTCTTCGCTTCAACTGAAGGGAATGATTTGATGGAAAGTGGAAACGTTTACTTTAGGAAAAAACCCTACTTTTGACGCACAGATATATCATCCTGATAACCCATTCACCTTTTCAAAGGAAAACTGCATATGATTGGAATTGTGACAGAGCATGACTTGAGATATCTTGAGGACGTCCGCACGAGTCGAATTCAAAAAGCAACCTCACTCGAATTCCGTGAAGGGCCAAAAGACGTCATTGAACACCGAGTAAAGCCGGTCGACAGAGCCGACGTTCGAACAGTCGACGCTCGAGCGGAAATCCCCCACTACGCAAGCGCACGGGAAGACGTCCCACCGATCGGGACACTGGCCCTGCCCGCTGGCCGCGGGGAGTGAAGCAGCGAGGAAGAAAAGGGAGAAGACGAGGATGCGGTCCGGCATTTCGAGGAGCGAGACGGTGGCGGGGAGGATGGGAGTGGATATCAGGATCTCCAAGGCCCTTTTTATATCCAGGTGCTTTTTCTCTCCATCGTGTGAATTACCACATGTGCAGGAGGAAAATGTATGAATAGAAAAAGTTCGCATTCGCTAAAACGTTTGTCGTGCGACTGGACAAATGAGGTTGAGGCCCATATAGGGTTCATCAAAACTAAAGAGGCACGACACGATACGTGCTCATCAACTCCTCATCGAAGACAAAATAAAGGGTGTCCCAACAAGAACGCAAGATTTAATTTTGTAATAAAACGCATCATTTATTCAACATGTGCTAATATTTTTATTTCAGTATAAAGCACGCACACTGCGATTAATTGTGGAACACGATATCCGACAAATGTCCCCCACGACTCTGCTGGCACACTCTTGCTCTTTTGACGAAATTGTCCTGCTGTAATCTGGAAGACGTGCGCCGTCATGCTCCAGCATGACGGCGCAACCTGTCACACTGCGCGCGAAACAGCAAAGTTGTTGCGAGAAAAATTTCCTGGCCGTGTCATCTCGTGCAATGGCGACCAGGATTGGCCACCGATGTCGTGCGATTTGAGACCGTGCGACTTCTTTCTTTGGGGGTTTGTGAAATCTCGTGTGTATGCCAACAAACCGCAAACAATTCCTGAGCTCAAGTCGGAGATTCGAAGTTCCATTGGCGAAATTGAGCCGAAATTATGCGGAAATGTCATCGACAATTTCGTCAAAAGAGCAAGAGTGTGCCAGCAGAGTCGTGGGGGACATTTGTCGGATATCGTATTCCACAATTAATCGCAGTGTGCGTGCTTCATACTGAAATAAAAACATTAGCACTTTTTGAATAAATGATGCGTTTTATTACAAAATTAAATCTTGCGTTCTCGTTGGGACACCCATTATTACCGTCAACCGACCTTGCGACCTAGGATATCGGTTTGTTCAGGGATCCGACAGCATATATATTGATAACATCATAAAAGGCATTTCGCATCCGATTGGACAGAGGAGCACGGTGGAAGAAGTTGCTCATTTTAATGGCTCCCTTTCCATGAGAATTACTTGACTTTCCCCTGTTTCATAACTTTCTCCCAAATTACGTGTATGTGCAAAGTGAAATACAAATATTTGATTTTGCCTGCGAAGGTAAAACGGCTTCGAAGGCGTTACTATCGCTGTAATTTGTAGATGATGCACTGGACTACTCCAGTTCATTTGGGACGTTGAAACATCACGAATACGCTTTTCACTAATGTTGCACCCAATCATGATTCCAAACCAAGGCGTATAACCACTCAACACCTTCCATGCCAGACGATCCTCCCCGAGTACCGAATCCGACGTAGTACTGGCTCGGTCCGTCCACCAGTCCGCAGACCGGATGCCGACACGCTGACGAATTGCAGCCGAAGTGTTGGCTAGAAGGTTGGGGTGTACTCGGTAAAACTGACGAGAGCGGATCGGTTACCTCATCTCAAATGTAAGCTCAAGGCAGACCACGAGTTTCAGTGACAACAAAACATTTTTGATATAGGACCAACGAGGGAAATCCGGTCCTCCTTAAAAAAGGGGATGTTATCGCCAACGAAACAATTTCAGGAACGAACATACAGACACATGCAATGGAGATCCTCTATCCCAGTGGTATTCAAAGTGCGGCCCGCGAGCCGGATGCTTCATGGTTTTATGCGGCCCACTATGACTCACTAATAATTGACTTTTTCACACTTGACCATTTTATGAACTGATAAATGATAGCGATTAACATTTCTTTTTATTTCCATATTTTGAATCCTTCGCTGAAAACCAATAAATTTAGTCTTTGCTTAGAGATTTTGGTACATATCATACATTGTTTACATTTAGTTGTTAATGTATTTTGGCGTGCACCTACGAAATGCCTAATATTCGAAACCTCCAGATACTGCAGAGAAAAAAATGTCTTTCCTCACAAGTGAATGAAGTTAAGGCTAAAGAAAGAAGATTTTATCGGAAATACAACTTGTAAGAAAGCAGGATCGTACGTACTTTCCTGTACGAAGATCGTACAGGAAAGTACGATCCTCCCAGTTTTCGCGATCTTGGACGACGAACTCAAGCTCGGCGGGTCGCATATTGAGCTTCGAGTGACGTAATCCATCCACCTTGCACGAGGGCCAAAAACTAGTCTCCTGCTGGTCATTCCAGATTAGGTGATTCTCCTTGGGAGCCTCTCGGGAGGATGGATGATTCCTTTTGGGAGCCTCTCGGGAAGACGGATGACTCCTTTTGGGAGCCTTTTTGGCAGGCTCGGGGTCTGTGGATCAGAACGTCGCTGCGTAGAAGTTTAACCAGGCGGTTGCCAATCTCGACTTGTATCCGTGTACGACTTATGCCGATTCTTCATCGCTGGCATGCATGATTAAAGTGGTTTATCTTTTCGACCGGAAGAGCATATAAAGAAAGACCTTATATGGGGAGAATCCGCGCCTGTGACAAAAAAAATCCTAAAAGCTTTAGATTCTTTAAAAACGGAGTGCTCTTTCCTCCTCCTCAACCCTTTCGGTCCGGAAGGCATGTGATTCAGATTTATTTTAGGTCTGCAAAAAATATGCATAACTTCGGAATGCAAAATTATGGAATTGTTCTTTCTTGAAAATTGAGGAAGTTCTCTACTTTTTGGGGAAAATTATTTCAAAAATTGAAAGTTTTCAAAATGCGAAGTCCACCGTCGTTCGCTGGTAGACCCGTAGGCGGGCATTTACGTCCATCAGATGCGTCAAGGAAAAAGATCGACAAAGGGCAGAGGGAGCGAGTGCGACGAAGGGCAAAGGGAGATTGAGGGGGGAAGATTCAGGGGAGGGGAGGGGGGGGGGGTGGGCCAGAGAGAATTTGCGGAAGGTGTCTAAGGGTGCGACGCACTTTTCTTTCTTGGCCTTCGCTTGCGTCGTTCCTTTCAGGCATTTGAAAATATGATACTGTATATCGGAGTTCTATTCATATCCGAGGTAGCTGCTTGCGACACGGTCCTTATCTTCTCGCAGGGAAACGAGGAGCCGGATAATCCTGCCCGCTGTTCACGTTTGGAAGCACAACACGGAAAGATGAAATGCGGAATACCGACCCTCTTCGGGTTTTTGTGCGATCTTCCTCGCCCTCTTCGGCGGTCTCCCGACTTCCCGCGCAGGCGAAATAAATCCTGTTTCGCTTTTATTTACATGAACGCGATGGACCTCATGAGACCAATAGAGAACCGATAGAGTGTCTTCAGGGAATCTTGCCGGCTTGACATCGCAAGGCTCCTCTCGGCACCCTGATTTTCTCGATATCACAACAGGCGAAGCCGTGAATCGACTCATCATCGCTAAAATATTATAACGGACCTAAATGAACAAGTCATGCACGTTTCTGGGAAAACGATTGATTTGCAAAACACTCAATCGGATCACATTTTTCCCAATCAATATGAACACGCTCTGTGTTCTGCTAGTGATTCGAGTCATGGGAATATATGAGCAAAGAGGAAGATTAGGGAGCGGCACGTTTTCTTTCAAAAGATTCCGGATTAATTGTTTGACCGAGGATCGCTGGGGACGCCAATGCTTCCTCCAATGACGCCTCCAGGAGGAGGTTTCATAATTCAATTTCCGTTGGCGAGCGGAAAGGGTTAAGGAGAAGCGTGCTGGTGGATGGCCTGATTCTCCGCTCGGCAAGGAGGATGTCCTGATTCTCCACTCGGCATGGTGGATGTCCTGATTCTCCACTCGGCATGGTGGATGTCCTGATTCTCCCCTCACGCCTCCTCACAACGGGAAACGATTGCGCGGGAGGAGCTTTACTTGAGCCATGGTCGGACTCACGGTCATTCGATAACTTCTTATGGAGCTTCCACCTGCACTTCAGGATGAATTTTGTTGCCTGACGTGTTCATGACTGATCACGGCGAATTTCCTTATAACCAGAAATGGAGAGGCTCTCATGAAATGGCCCATCAGGCATCCTTCACTTGATTCTCCCCTCCCGTCTCCACGTAACCCAGATGCGCGAACCAACGAGAAAATCGTCTAGTTGTCTGGGACCCGTTTTGTATATAAATATTGGTCTATGCTATACGAATGACAATTTTTGGTTAGCAGCATCTTGTGGTCCCGAAATATAAAACCCTGAAGAGTGAATATTGAAGCTATAAGGAATACGTCCGCATCAAGCAGAATCCCCAGCCCTCCAATCAGGTGTTCCATCGGGAATAAGCCACTAATCGCCATTCTCACCTGACAGATGAATTTTTTCCTTCCACTCTTTCGCAATTTGTATTCTTCTCCAACAATTCAAGGAGAATATTCTGACAGAAAAAAAAAGAAACTATTATTAAATGAAACGCGCAATCAATTGGGAAAGCACAGCTTCACGCATGCAAATTCTAAAAAGTATTTCCAGCCGTTACTTTATGAATTCATTCGGCCCAAGGACCACATTGCAGTGCAACAAGTTGACCCACATGCTCATCGAGGAATTCCTCGAACACAGTTTTTATTTTTTTTTATCAATATAGCAAAAATAGGCATTTGTGAAGAAGAGAGAGAACATGAAATCAGGAGATATCGTCTTTTGCTCCAAATGGGAAGATAAATTGTATGTTTCATTCTTTTTCCCTTTATTTTATTTATTTTTCAGTTGTTTTAGTATTCATCATTTAGGCCAGTCATCGTCATCTGAAAGGGCACAATAGCCGGGGATATTCCGATTTTATTGCGGAACGAACGTGACGATCACGGCACCGAGCCCTTTCCAATTCGCCCGCTCCGTTCCCCTCCGACGAATCCCCCACCCACGCACTTATTGCTCCTGGAATCTCCTGCAGAGCACAGAGGTTATGGCTCTTTAGTGCGTGGTCTTCGATCTCCTATCTGCCCTCAACTGCTGGGAGTCCGCCATCAACTACAACAGCGAAAGACAAGGAAAATCCGGACGCGACGGCCGCCTCATTACAAAAAGTGAAAAACGGCAGTTTCTTCCCAGATTCTGCGGCGAGGCGGAGAAACGGAAGAACCCGAACAATGTTGGGAAGTTCCCGCTCGTGGAGCTGGGGTTTTGGGCCAAGCG